TCTCTCTATAAAACACAGGAGCAAAATTTGAAGAAAAAATGGGAAACAGGGTCGGAAAATTGACCCTCTGCTGCGCCGGCGACGCCGGCGAAATTTCCCGGCGGATGAACGCCGCCGCCGTACCCCCTTCTGACCCCCCCGACGAGGGCTTCGGCCACTCTTTCTGCTACATCCCGCCGGAGCTTCCCCACAGAACCCACTCCCCCGACGCCGGCCCGCCGCCGTTCCGCACGATCTCCGGCGCGTCCATCTCCGCCAACCCCTCCACCGCCCTATCCACCACCACCTCCGCCGCCCTCGCCTGCTCTTCCGCCGCGGACAAAGCCTCCGCCTTCGAGAGCTCCAACTTCTTCTCCTCTATCCCCCTGCAACCGATCCCTCGTAGCTCCGCCGCCTCCACCGTAATCCGCTCCGGCCCGATCCCACGGAACCCTGGCCCTAACTCCGGCCCAATGGAGCGCGGCTTCATGTCAGGCCCAATCGAGAGGAGCTTCATCTCCGGCCCACTCGATTACCACCCCGAACGGTACCGGCCCAAATCCAAAAAAACGGCTCTGCTCCAAACCCTGAAAAAAATAGTGTCCAAATCTTTCCGGTCGTCCTCGAAAAAACCGGAAAATAACGGCAATAATAATAACAGCGCCGCTGTTAATTTCAGCTCCAGCAACGGTAGCGCCAATAGTAGCAGAGTCACAAGCAACAATCTGAGTAGCGACATGAGTTTTGATGATGTCATTAACGCGTCGTTCGGAAGCCCGAAAAACGTTCAATGGGCCCAAGGAAAAGCCGGCGAAGATCGAGTCCATATAACGGTCTCACAAGAGCACGATTGGATCTTCGTAGGGATCTATGACGGGTTTAACGGGCCCGATGCCACCGATTTTCTCTTGAACAATCTCTATTCGAATGTTCGTAAAGAGGTTAATGGGCTTTTGTGGTGCGACGAAAAGAAGGAATCTTTCGAGGTTTCGAGAAGTTTGGATAGTAAGGAAAGAGTCGAGCTTGATAGGAAATTACGGGAGAAGTTGAGTAGTTATGAAGGCAACGGCATTATTACGACCACCGTGAATCATTTGGGAATTTTGAAGGCGTTATTGGAGGCTTTGAAGAAAACCGAGGCTTCGTATTTGGAGATAACCGATATGATGTTGATCGAAAATCCCGAGCTAGCTTTGATGGGTTCGTGTGTTCTTGCAATGGTGATGAAAGGTGACGATGTTTATTTGATGAATGTTGGGGATAGTCGAGCGGTTTTGGCTCGGAAAAAGGATGAGAATGAGAACGAAAACGAATCTCATTTTGGGAAAAAATCGGCGAAAGATTATGAAGAATCTTTGTACGGTTATGAGTATGACGATGTTCGTCATTTGAGTGCTCGACAGCTCACGATGGATCATAGCACATCAGTTAAGGAGGTGATTTTTTTTTTTTATTGGATTTTAGTCTTGTTATGTTAGGTCCTCTGTTTGATGTTTATGAAGTTAAAATATGTTTTGTGTTCGTTTGGTCTGATTGTATTTGGGCTATTTCAGGAAGTAAGAAGGATTAAAAACGAGCATTCAGACGATCCATTTGCGATTTTCAATGATCGAGTTAAAGGTTCGTTGAAAGTCACTCGAGCATTTGGAGCCGGTTATCTCAAACAGGTAAAAAAAGAAAATTATGTTTCTTTGCTTGTCTCTTTAAATGTTGTATAAATAAACTGATAAATTGCTTGGTCCATTAGCTTCGGCATTAGCGAAAACAAGTTTCTACATTAGCTCGTACGACTAAAGCATTGCAATTAAGCCGCTAATCGGTATCTAACGAATAATGCTGAGGAGAAAATCTTCGAATTGATCGACGAATAATGTTTTACTTTTCGCTTTTTTTT